TTTTTTTTAAGGCCTTCACGATATCCCTCTATCCTGCTGGTGTTTTTTTTTTTAAGGCCCTCACGATATCCCTCTATCCTGGCGGTGTTGCCACTTCCAAACTTCCAACGGCTAGAAGTGCACAAAGCTGTTCTTTCTGTTTTTGCAGTTTCTAACTGCCCTCCCTCGGCCCAGAACCGCAGTGCCCTGTTATTCCTTCCTGCGAATTGTGCAGCGGTCACCCGCGCAGTTAGTTAAAAAAAAAAAAGACTCACAACGGTGGGCTGGCCACAGAAAGCAGTTTACATGAGCGAAAGCGGATCGGTCCGGCGTTCGTCCTGCATGCAACTATCCTACTCATGCTATGTTGGGTGAGATCCAGACATTACATTCACATCCATCCCATTCATGTGATAAAAGGAGAGAAAAGGGAAAAAGGACAATCAACACCTCACAACATTCCTGGTGATCTGACGACGATCGGAGACTAACGATTAAATCCAAGCATCCGTATCATCGACTGCTTCCAATCAGATCTGAGAGTATTGCTCATACAGATGGATGAGTGACGAAATTTGAATTAAACAGGCATCGCAAAACAAGATTGGAAATCCGAAAAGATCACTAACGAAAAAGAGTTCACATCCATTCATGCATACACGCGAGGCAAAAACGATGAAGAAAATCCGAGACGATTTACAAGGAAAAATCCGAAAAGACTGCAACAAAATCAGCCATAGCAGAAACCAAGATTATATAGATAAGCAAAGGAAGGGACCTCATCCCGCACACACAACTGCTCTCTCTCTCTGCTCTACATCCCCGATACCGGCAGTCCGTCGCCGCGTATCAATACAGAGTTGTCACCCCGCTTGGTTTGAGCATGCAAGCCAGGTTCGCCCGTGCGCCACAGTCCATCGCGGCCCCGCACGTCAACCCCTCGTACCCGACACCAGCTCGTCGGATCGCCCAACTCTCTCGTCGACTCACCTCTCAAGCTGACTCGTTAGCCGACCCTCACTCCAAGGTTCATAGAGAGCAAACTAATCGCGCTTGCGAAATTTATAGCATGCATGCTTGCGCGAAGGATACGGGATTAAGCCCAGATGGTCAGAAGGAGAAGAGAGGAAGTGCCTCCGTCTGCATGGCCAGGCCGCGGCGTGGGGGTCGTAGCCATACTCCACGCATCGATCCGGTTATGCAGGCACTCAAGCCAATTAGGACGGGATATTACATCGTGCAAAACAAAGAAGAAGAAGGCGGGCAAATACAAAAAAATCAAGAAGGAAGAAATATACAGTTACAATTGCGCCCGCCAAAAGCGACAGTTACACAAGATTAAGGGTGCGATCCAGTTAGAGCCCAGTTCCTGACGCAGCAAGATGCGCGCAAGCGTGGCGCAACAAAATTTAGAGAACTTAAATTCCTAGTCTAATTACAAAAAGGAAATTCCGAAGAGCCCCAAAACAATTCCGCGTGGCCGTGGGGGCTCGACGTCAGTTGAAAAATCAAAAACCATATTCCCGCTCGATGATCACGCCAAAAATTCCTAGCGCTCACAGCAGAACAAGAAAGAAGCCATGGCGACCGTTCCATCGCGCTCGCTAAGGCACGATTACCCAATCGTTGGTGCGGGACTTTCCCGACACCGACCCGACAAATTTCCTCAGAAAACGAAAAGAAACGAGGACATCCATGCAATTTGCCCGACCAGCCCGTCTTCTTCGCAGCTCACCCGTCCGACCCGTCGTATCTCCCCAAGCAGCTTCGCGCAGAAAGTCGAGCGACTACAGAAAACAGTTCGTCACACCGTCACAACCCCCCTTCCCAATACCAAGGCTGCCCCCATTTGAACCCCTGTCACCCCTCCATGCCACTAGCTCCCCACTACCAGGGCAAACCCCTTCCATGATCCAGCCACCCCCC